ACTCGAGTCGTCGTTCTCCCTCCGTTTCTCCTTCCTTTTTCTGCCTTCCTTGTCTTTCCTCCATTCTCTCGCTTCTTCCTCTTCCTTGGTCTGTCGTCCTCTGTCTAGTTCGTCAGTTGTCTGGCTTATTGTCCTTTTGCCATCAATTGGTGTAGTGTAAGCCTTGCTTTACACACTTTGACCCACGAAGTAACCGAGGTAGAAATTAGACTATCGTTGCGTGGCTTCGTTATTTTAGGATGGCTTCGAACAGTAACATGACTGAGATGCGCTCCTGCTATAACTGTGGTCAGAGAGGGCATATCTCTCGGTATTGTCCGTTACCTGATCGACGTCTGAATGGTGGACAACCTTCGACCAGCACGGCTATAGTGCCGGTCCAGGCTCCGTTATTAATAGTCCCTACTGGCCCTACTCCTAACGTAGGTACAACTGTCCCTCCCTACGGTAACTATTCGAGTGGAGGTGGTTACTTGACTAAGAGAGTGACTTCCTTGGAGGAGATCGTCGGGAAAATCAAGGTGAAACACGATGCTGATGAAGCCAAGGAGTTAGCAGCCCGTGAAGATGAAGAACGGAAGAAGAGAGAACGTGAGGACGAGGAGCGGCGTCGGAAGGACAGAAGGGAACGGGAAGAGTTTCAAGCACAGATTAACAAAGAGGTTTCTCAAAAATTGGATAAAGTCGTGAATGGAAAGGAAAAGTAGTGAAGGAGATGAAGTCGCAAAGCTTAAGGCTCGGATCGAGGAGTTGCAGCGGTGACCCTGTGTGGCGAGCTCGTCGGGAGATGTGGGAAAAACACAAGCCAACGTTGACGAGGTTGGACGGCTGCGTCTGGAGCAAAGTGAAATGAGAAAGGCAGCAGACAAGAGGTTCAAAGCTTTGGAAGAAGTCATTCATGCCTTACAAAAACAATGTGAGGATGCGGAGGCGAATGCTGAAGTTTGGAAAGCCGAGGCGCTGCGTCCGGGTAACAAGAGAGGTGGGATCTCCATTGGTACCACGCCTGTAACTCAGACCAGGATTCGACCTCGGATGACGCCTGCTGAAACCCTAGGTGCTACGAGAAGAGTGGATGAAAGACTCAAGGGGCTAGTCGAGAGGCATCAAGAGGAGGTTGGGATTTTGCAAGATCAACGCGTGAAGGAAATGAACGCACGTAAGCAAAGTGAAGAAGAATTGGAGAAACTGAAGCAGGAGATGACCAGGTTGGACGTCGAGAATAGGAGAAAGACGAGAAGCAATCTGAAAGCTAGGATGGACGAAGCGGCGGTCACGACAGTACGGAGGGAAAAGAACCGTGAGTGTGAAGGTGTTGTTTTTTCGGCAGTAAAAAGTGTCGGGAAGGTTGGAGCCAGCCCGGCCCCGTTGAACAATCGGGAGGCTTTCCTGCGGGCAGCAAGGAAGGAGCTGCGAGGGAAGAAGAAGGATCAGATCATTGAGATCTGCGGGAAAGAGGGGGTCGACTATACTACGCTTAATCCCACTAAAGAGTTCATTGCGCGGCGAAGAACGGAGCGTGCTTTCGACGAGAAAATGGATGAGGCGAGGAGCAAGGAGAAGGAAGTTTTAGAAGTGACTGAGGATGGAGAAGAATCTGAGGATGACGGGCGTGAATCCGCTGATTCTTAGGATCACGCCCGAACGCTTCTTATTTCTAGGATGTCGTGCGACTTTGTGTCCATCTTCGATTTGGGTCTTCTGATCTTTTTAGATGCAGAGAGTTGAATTCCTTGTTATGTCTTGCGGTCTGTGGGTTGATCGTTGCTGATGTGGTCCCCTGGGGGAGCAAGCTAGCCAACTGTGTTGTTGAAGCTAATTCCGATCGTCTATGGGCTAAGGATGGATGGAAAGGTCCGTTGGTGTATGCGTTATTCTCCCCATGGACGCGCCACTTGTATATCGGAAGCACGGGAAGAGATTTGCACTCTGGTTGGAGAGAGCACGTGTATCGAGCGTGTCAGCCGTCAGTAATCGAGAAGGGGAAACGAAACGAGAAATTGTATCATTGGTTAAGGCGATGTGGGGCACATACTTACGTCGCTATTCCACTTTGCAGGTGTTCTAAGGATGAGTTGTTGGCTACTGAAAGGTTCTTTATCAGTCTATTGTCACCATCGTTAAATTGTCGAGACAAACCAAGGCGTGCACGTCGATGTCGTCCAGGGAAGAAAGAACGTTTGAAGGTGAGAAAGCGAAGAGCGGGTGATGGGGGTGGGGTGGTGAACTCATCTGGGTCTAAATTTGGTAATAGTTCGTTGGTGCGTTTCTATTCTCCTGATGGCTGCGTATCCAGAAGTCTTCTTGGTATCTTGGAAACCTGTCGTGTTCGATCGATCCATCGGTTAACTGTTAGATGCTTGGGAGGTGATGTGTTGCTGGATCGCTGGAAGGTGATTAAGAGGTTATTTGGTGGCAACATCGTGACAAGTGAGTTTGGGAGGATTGAGCTTCATTATGCCCGGGGGTGGATCAAAGGTGGTCTGACCTTGTCTTTTGAACGTATCATACCTTTTTTAAGTAGATCGTTGGCTTTGAAGGGACCGTTGGTCGATTTTTTGAGTGAGCCGGTGAGTCGAGCGCTGCTGAAGGTTTGGGATTTTGATAAGTTGATTACCGCATACACAGCTATACGTACTTTTAGCGAAAAGAGGTCGAGGTTTCGCTTGCGCTGTATTTTGTCGCACACGATTTTCGCAAGGTTTGGTGTTCGGGTTCGAAAAAGAATTGTTATTAAGGTGGTTTTTTATAATGTGTTGTGCAAGTCTCGGATCCGGAAGTTATGTGCAGCAGTCGTCTCGGGTTTGATTGCTAGCAAGGAGTGGGGGTTGATGCTGATTCGGAGAATACGAATAGTCTGGTGTAGAAATAGGAGTGTTGCTGATTTGATTCATAATTTTCGTAGGTTTTCCAGATTAGAGGAGGTTGTTTGCACTTGCTCTGACAGTGACTGTGCTTTTCCACGGACTGATGGGCATGTTGTCTTTCGTCTCAATGATTCTGTTGACTTCCCGATATGGATGAGGAACTCTAAAAACATCCTGCGTCCTTCTCGCTGTCGCTCTGTGGATCTTCTTCGAAAGCAAATTTTGTCTGGGTTTTCTGCTACTCGTCCCTACCCCCTGTTGATTCGGTCTCATTATCTAATGATTTGCTTCGTAACTGTTTCTTGAACTCTGACTCTTTTTCTAATCCGTCTGTTAGAAGTGAAGATGATGTGGCCCCTTTTGCTTCGAAGCTTCGGGATCTGGTCTGTTGCCCTATTGACCACAATATGGGTGACACGCTCGTATGTTGTCCAGTTGTTTATGAGATGGGAATGCGGAAACTTTTTTTCGGGAATCCATCTCTTGTTAGGTATCGTGAGGAAGAGAAGGACGTCCTTGAGCAGTGTAAAGAAGAGTATGCTAGTTTGGGATTGGGGAAGGTCGGTCGGTGGAAAAAGAAAGGTTGTCTGGGGAAGACCTATTGTTTGCCTAAACATAAGGACGTCAGTTGTTGGAGACCGATTTGCCCATCATATTCGGAATGTTCTGCTGAGGGGGGTCGGTTGATCTCAAAGGTAGTTAATGCGCTCCTCTGGAACTTGCCGAAGGATTCGAATCTCAATCTGCGTAGTGTGGATGGTCTGTTGAGTTGTCTATTAAGAATCAACAAAGGATTGAAGAAGGACCATGTCGTTGTTGGAGCTTCATTCGACGTTAAGGAGATGTTTTCTAATCTCCCGCACGAGTCGATTTTGAATGCCTTGATCTGGGTCATTGATTTCAGGAGTGCTAGGGACGTGCACTGTGTTGGTGTTAAGAAACAAGGGAAGGGTACGAAGTTGTTGAGAGGGAAGGCTAAGGACGGTTGGAAGTCTGTTTCCTTCAATCTCGTTCTGAACTTCGTCAAGTTTGAACTCTCGAATACCTATGTTTCCGTTGATGGACGACTGCTTCGACACGTGGTGGGGATTCCAATGGGCAAGTCATCAAGCCCTGCTTTAGCTTGCCTGCTTTGCGCTTATAACGAGTTTGTTTTTCTGTCAAGCTTGGGAGCTGATCGGAAGCTATTCCATGGCTTTCGACTCGTTGACGATGTCTCTGTTTTTGTGGTGTTGAAGAAAGAGCGAAGGTTGGAGATTGATAAGGGGGAACGATTAATTGAGAGGTTCAGCCAATGCTATGATGATAAACTTACTCTCGAGAAGACTAACTAGGGGAATGCATGGATGTACTTGGGTTGTGTACTCAACATCGTTGGAGGAGAAGGAGGTGTTGCCTGCCATCCGTTGATTAAGAATCAAGGAGGGGATGTCAACGGGAGACTTACCTGTCAGAACATTCAAGACTTCTCGTCTTTCACTAGTAAACAACAAAAGTTGGCTGTCATTGGCTCCTTTTTGCACTGGGCGAAGGTGTATTCTACTTCTGAGGACCTTGCCTTTCCTCTGCTCTTTTCCCTTAAGTGCGAACTGTGGAGGAGGGGGTATCCGGACGAGTACTTTGACATGGCTCTGATAAACTTCTCGAAGAAGTTTGTCGGACTGTGGAAAGGATGGTTGCCGTTTTTGACTAGGTGGGACCACTTTCTGGGTGAAACAAGGATGGCCTTTATTCCCCCCCACTAGGGGGTTGTGTCGGACTATTGAGTGTTTTCTAAAAGTGTTGTGGCAACTCGGGATGATTGTGGTTCTTTGCTTAGTATTAAGGAATTATCGGTAGTACCGGTAGTTTGGGGATAACTTGAGACGGTTCTCGGTCGCATGTGTGTTTCGTAAGCTGCGAGAGGGGTACTTTGCTACGCTTTCATTGGGTATTGAACTCTGGGCTGTGCTTTGGAACTGCGTGAGTTGGACAAGTACCGGTAGTATCTGTGGTAAGTCGAGAGGCTCTGTTTTTTTTTAGTTTCTTTTGTGTTTTCTTCAGTTATCGAACTCTGGATCGTAATTTTGGAACTACATGTGTGGAGGTGTTGGAACTGAGTAGGGTGTAGAACCGACACGTGCTGAATGAAGAACTTCGATGTTTTTTGTTTTTTTTTAAAATTGACGGTTGTGAAGTATGTGGCTGAGAAATTTGTTTAGGTGCATTGATCGGGATATTAATGACGATTTGGACTACGGTCAGACGGTTTTTTTCTTTTTTGGTAGTAGGAAATTTCTCGGCCTTAGAACTTTGAACCACGAAGGCGCGGCTGGTTTTCTAGTATTGACTGACTTGGCGGTTTTCTGACGAATTGCTGTGTTGAYGGTCTTGTATAAGTAGAATAGATGACTGGAGTCTGTTGTACCGACTTCAAGGCCCCTGATGATCCTGGTTGGCGGCCAGGTGAAACCGGTAGGGCTATACGCCATGTYCGAGCTTCATGTTTATTTTTAATATAAGTCGCGTTCGGGACTCGAGTCGTCGTTCTCCCTCCGTTTCTCCTTCCTTTTTCTGCCTTCCTTGTCTTTCCTCCATTCTCTCGCTTCTTCCTCTTCCTTGGTCTGTCATCCTCTGTCGAGTTCGTCAGTTGTCTGAGTTATTGTCCTTTTTCCATCAATTGGTGTAGTGTAAGCCTTGCTTTACACACAATTTTTTTATTTTATTTTTTTTTATCATTTTTTTTTTTTTAACAAACCAAACCACTTCCATTACATCATTCAAGATTGAGGCCGGGGACCTCACAATTCAACCCGGAGTTATCCCGGCAGCAACAGCCGGTTTAGCTTGACAGGGTAACCTTACTCCCCACCACTTATACGCTCGAACTTTTAACTGCACACTTCTAGAATAACCCCAGGGCCTGGTTACACCAATCCGACTCCGAACACTGAGGATCCTGATCATACTAATACTTGCTGTGAAATACCACTGAAATTTAAAGGTAAGCTATATTCTTCTCTCACATCTATTTCATCTTTCTTGGTAGTACGCATCTACTGATCCTCTCACGAGTCTATGCATAGTACGGGGGAACACCAACCAATCTGGATCTCTCCCAGCCCATGGGGTAGGTTGTTGGCACCACAGATGTGGTGCGAGAGCAAGGCTGTTTCAGCTTTTCCAGTCCCTCATCACGGTGACGAGGGGTGGGCAGGCGTTGCCCATGGGTGGGCAGGCATTGCCCATGGGGGAAATAGGCGGTGCTAGCGCCTAGCAATGGCCAGTCACTGCACCTCCCCCTACCCCCCCCCAACCCCACATGGCGGTGTCTAATGGCCGATATTGTGGCTGCAACGCAGCCAACAACATCAGCCAAGGTCCTGCCAATGCTGGCTTGGGGGGCCAACGGGTTATCTCTAGATGGTAGAACACCAAGCTCTCCCAGGCACATACGTGAGGGAAATGAGGATTGAACCCACAACCTCCTGAATGCAACTTTTGTGCCTTACCAACTGAGCTAGGCCTGCAAGCCCTGGGCCAATTTTGGGGTCTGGTTCCACACCACTTGGTTAACTTGAAACTCGAGTGCGCACTGAAGTTCCAATCTTGATTTAAAAATACCTGAGTCACGTTTCGATCCACCCAACCCTCGAGTCCGCCCTTGAAATGAGCGGGAATGGTGCTGCAACAGCTCGCGCCAGGTTCAACCAGGACAAACGTGGTAGAAAAATGAGAATAAACGGAAGAAAAAACTATAAAGGGGTTCTACACATACCTGCAGCGCCGTTTTCAAGTGCAGCTCAAGTGTGCTGAGAAA